ATTTTTATGTTTTTTTTCATGTTGCAATGTATTTTCTTGTGGTTGAAAAAAAATGTCGGTGATTAGCACTGTAATCAAAGCTGTATAATCTGGTTCATTACCTTTTAAGTCCTAAATTAAATAAGTGTATACCATATCTACTCTTTAGAGATTTTTCTTCCATACATGCTCCTTAGACCTGTCCATTTTCTCTCCCAGCCGCTTAGACTCCTATTCCACTACTTAGTTTTGCATCTTTAATAGCCAGGACAGGTCTGGTCATTTACTTAGTAACAGCTTACTAAGTGTGTTTGACATTTATTACATATTCAGTCCAGTATTCATGAAAACATAATGAGAATTTTAAGCAGGAAGGCATCCATATGAATGTGTATGCATATAGAATGTAAAAGCATTCAACTCTATTATTGTTAGAGTCTTTTTTTGTTTTTTAATTTAAACAAATATGAAAAGCATTTATGCAGACATGCTGCAGCTGAACAGGCCCCGAGTCCATCTGCCAAATTTCAATTTACATTGCTCATACACAGTTATTTTGTATGTTGACTGTTAAAATGTTGTAAGACAAACATTGCTGCTTAATTTAAATGTAAAAAAATTACTACTGGCTACGGGATAAATCTAATGATTTGTATTAAGAATCTAAAATGGTGCCGCTCTAGGACAAATCAGAGACTTGTGTATATAACATGCATACTTTAGGTGTTTATCAACTTCTACACACATGTCCTGAATGAAGATGATTAATAGACTTTCTTAGTAGCATTTAATGGCTGCTAAGGAGGTAATGCAATCATTTGAATCAGATCTGCTGAAGCACAGACAGATTGAAATCATGAAGGACAATCGGCCCTTAGGACTCATGTTTAGAAACCCTGATGTCGCTGAACTCAACGTACAGGTCTGGAATGTTATAACATTTTGGTGTTTTTTCAGCTCTTTTATTGTCATTACAATGTCACAAATACACAGCATGAAATGAACTCTCTGCATTTAACCCATACCATTGGGGAGCAGTGGGCTGCCATTGTGCGGCGCACCGGGAGCAGTGTGGGGTTAAAGATCTTGCTCAGGGAATCCAGAATGGCAGACTTTGGGATTGGGGCTTGGACTCATATCCTCTAGATTCCTCTAGATGCCCTAACCACTAGGCCACACTTCGCCTAGGATCCCTTGTAGGATGTAGCTAGAGGTTCAGTGTTAATATAAAAGTCAGCGATTGAACGAACCCCACCTGGATTTGTTCCTTAAGCTAGGTTTACACTTTGAACAGTATGCTAGGCACTGGTGGTCAACAATGACACACCTCCAAAGGTTTGTAACTTGGGGCTAACCATGTGCACCAGCCTCATCCCAAATGGGTGGATTTAAAGTTGCCCTTCCCAAACAAGTGTATCTGTACTAAGTTAGAAAGGCCAGAAGTAGCAAGCAGCACAGTTTTTTTGTTTTGTTTATTTTTTTATATTGCTTTTACTGTTTATTCAGTGAGTAAAAACAACATACAGTGGTCTACTTTCAGGGATGAGTTTCTTTGGTGAGTTTGTGTGTACAAACCAGAATTTGGGTTTCCGTTTAAAACACACACAGCATCAATTAAGTCTCAAACAACTACCCAAAATATGTAAAGCTTTCAGCTTTTTTTTCTTTAGCTTTTAAGCTTTTTTTAAAAAAGATCTATATGGGCATCACTGGCAGGCTGCATTCTCAATTCTTCACATTTGTCTTGTGCAGCAGGTAAACCTACCTACTTATTCTTCTTCCTTAGCCCAATGTTATTTTTGTGTAGCTGCCATAAAGACATCTAGTATTCTTCAATAATCTATTCTTGAATAAAAAATATAGCACTCTGTTTAGTGCACTTTGTTTACAAGTCATTGCCCATCATTGCTCCAGTAGGTGCCCTAATGTCCCAAGTTTGTGCAAGATTGTTCTTTTATGTGTATATATTTAACAAGGTCTTTCACCCTCCTTACCCCTTTCTTGAGGTTGGTTTATAATGCAAGACTCTGCCAAGAAAAAAATAAGGTTTTCAAAACCCTTCAACACATATCTTTGGGAATATTTTAGAGAAATTGTAATTTTGTTAGATCTTTTGTTAGAATGAATTTTCCTTAATTAAGTTTTACACAAAAAATGATCAGAAAGGTTTATTTAACATTATGTCTAAAGATAGAGGTCTATTTTTTGAAATCTACATATTTCAGATGCCTTTGTGTCTATTCTTGTTTTCAGAAAACCCTTTTTAGAACATAATTATTACTGGAATACTGGAATTTGTTTTACACTAAGCTCTCTTTGTGTTTTCACATCAAAAACAAATAGATTTAACCGACTGAGTTGGGAATGGTCTGACTATGAACAAATGAAACAGAAGAAGTTGCTTTATTTTTAAGGTTCCTCCAAAGAAACAGACCGTTTTAGATTGTATTAGATTTTTTTTCAACAAAAAATCCAATATTTTTTGCAGAAGAGACAGCAAGTTAATTGAAGATTATGCTCCAGATAACAACTCCTGAGTGAACCATTTTTCTGTGTGAGACCTTAGCTCTATTTGGCCCTCTCCCTCTTTCCCTGATCCTTTCTTCTTCCCTGCTTCCCCTTACCCTTCAATCAAGGTCATGAATACATCTAGAGTCTGTGGTTTCCCTCTGCGTGATCACAAACATGACCAGTCCACCGCAGTTCCTCTCTGCCAGGCAATTTCACTGAAAAAATATTTCTTTGATGTTGTTTTCTGATAGCTCTCAGCAGTCTTTTCTGTCTAGTGCTGAGGATTTCTTAAGGTGTCTTTATCAGGACGCTTATTTTAGATCATATTTACAAAGATTGTAAGAGGATTATTGCTTCTCTTCCCTTATTCAAGTTACAGCACAGTCAGTATAAAAGCTGAAACCATTTAGTTAGTGATAAAGGTTAGAGTTGGTTGCAAACACACAGTTGTTCTAGAAAGCTTACATAACCTTCCACGAAGCCAGGAAACAATCAGCTGCCAGTATAATAAGTTGAAATTGACAAAAGTAATGATTAATAAAAATTATAAATTAAAATCATGACATTTATTTTGAAAAAAATTATGTCTTGATTTGTGACCTTTTTTCATCAAGCAGCTTGGTGAAAAAAATGTCCACTGTTAGAGTTATCATTAGATAATGGAAGAAGCTAACCATGACTGTCAATCTCCCTCAGACTGGGGCCCCATGTAAGATCTCACCTGTTGGGGTCTCAATAATCCTAAGAAAGGTGAGAAATCAGCCCAGAACTACACTGGAGGAGCTCGTCTATGACCTGAAATGAGCTGGGACCAGCGTTTCCAAGGTTACTGTTGGTAATACACCAAGACGTCATGGTTTGAAATCATGCATGGCAAGGAACGTTCCCATGCTTAAACCAGCACATTTCAAGGCCCGTCTTAAGTTTGCCAATGACCATTTGGATGATCCAGAGGAGTCATGGGAGAAAGTCAGATATGACCAAAATAGAAATTTTTGGTCATAATTCCACTAACCCTGTTTGGAGGAAGAAAAATGTTGAGTACCATCCTGAGAACACCCTCCCTACTGTGAAACATGGGGGTGGTAGGATCATGCTTTTGGGGTTTTTTTTTCTGCACATGGGACATGGGGACTACACTGTAATTAAGAGAGGATGACCAGGGCCATGTATTGCGAAATTTTGGGGAACAACTTCCTTCCCTTAGTTAGAGCATTGAAGATGGGTCGAGACTGGGTCTTCCAACATGACAATGACCCCAAGTACACAGCCAGGATAACCAAGGAGTGCCTCTGGGAGAAGCATATCAAGGTTCTAGCATGGCCTAGAAAGTCTCCTGACCTAAACCCAATAGAGAATCTTTGGAGGGAGCTCAAACTCTGTGTTTCTCAGTGACAGCCCAGGAACCTCACCGATATAGAGAAGATCTTTTTGGAGGAGTGGGCCAAAATCCCTCCTATAGTGTGTGCAAAGCTGGTGAAAAACTACAGGAAACGTTTGACCTCTGTAATTGAAAACAAAGGCTACTGTACCAAATATTAACATTGATTTTCTCAGCTGTTCAAATACTTTTTTGCAGCTGTATCATACAAATAAATAGTTAAAGAAATCATACATTGCGATTTCAGGAAATGTTTTATTTTTTTTTAGATTATGTCTCTCACAGTGGACATGCACCTAAAGTACAATGACAATTTCAGACCCCTCCTTGATTTATAAGTGGGAGAACTTGAAAAATAGCGAGGTGTTCAAATACTTATTTTCCTCCCTTTCGATGGATGGATGGATGGATGGATGGATGGATGGATGGATGGATGGATGGATGGATGGATGGATGGATGGATGGATGGATGGATGTGCATTACTTGAATTCATTCTGAATGAATGGATGAAGGATTTTGGTCACTGTACATTAGCATTGATAGTTACTTTATACAAATTTACTTTAGAAGTCTGCCTTTGTCTGTGTCATGTTTGCAGTCAAATGTTCACTGTGTTGAATGTTACAGTCATTAAAATCACAAATGTAGAATTAAAAGTAGTTTTTGAGTCTCAATGTTCATTGTTTTCTGATTCATCAGAAGGCAGCAGTTCAAACACAGGGTACTCTGTTCAGTGTTGCTCTTTGCCTTCTCCTTCATCTTGCCTGGATAGTGTAGGTTCAGATGTGGGAGGTCTGTCCTAGTGCATGGCACAACCTTGTTAGCTTGGTGTTGGTCCCTCCTCTCTGCAGTAGTGCTACTGAAATACCTCACTGTTGCTGGAGTTTACATTTGTATTTTCACAAAATGTTAAAAAGTTCAAGGGGCATAATACCTCTTTGAGGCCTGTTCTTGATGTTTGGACCTATGTTGTGTGGCTTCCTTCCTACTTTCTGCATGTTTCCTTTTTAATTGCTTTTATTAAAGGCCCTAAGTGTCATAGAATCTCAAATAAAGAGTTTGTTTGTGCAGAAATTTGAAATACATTTAAAGTCCTACTGATCCCAATTCTATATCTTCCAAACACAGCAAGGGAAGAAAACGTCGCCACCTTCCGTGGATCAGAGTACTTCTGTTACGACCTCTCCCAAAACCCCATCCAGAGCAGCAGCGATGAGATCACACTGTCCTTTAAGACGTGGCAACGTAACGGCCTTATCCTGCATACGGGAAAGTCAGCCGACTATGTCAACCTGGCTCTGAAGGATGGTGCAGTCTCCCTTGTCATCAATCTGGGCTCAGGAGCATTTGAGGCCATCGTGGAGCCGGTCAGTGGGAAATTCAACGACAACACGTGGCACGATGTGAAAGTGACCCGGAACCTGCGACAGGTAAGTTCCATGGGTGGAGTAGGTTGACCAACAGCAGGTTTTTAGAACCCTGTTTTGTTCTGGTTAGATCCATCATTGCATTTCAGTTTATTTCTTGCTTTGGTATTCACTCATCACTGCACAGATTTCATTGTCCAGATGCACATTATTTATTTTTTATTATTATTTCATTAACCCCTATCTTACGCCTTTCTGCCAAGCCCACAGGCAATGGACCCGACTTGGTAAACAAACTCCATTGCATGGTAGATATCATTTATCTCATTCTCTTTCCTTAGTTTGCCATCTACTTCTTCTTTTCTTCCTGTTTGATTTCTGGATAGTCTTTGCTGAAAACAGCACCAGCAAAATAAAATGAACAGGTGCTGATGTTATCATCCCTTTCTTTTCCAATCATTATTATGCCATTTTATATCTAATATCTAAATGTCTGTACTTGAATATACAAAATCTAAATGTGATGTCTAGCTTGATCTCTTCAGATCAGTGATTGCTATAAATTTTTGCTCTTATTTAGTGTAAACTTAGCAAATATTTACAACTTCCTGATAAAATGATTTCACAAGACAACAACAATCATTTTATTACATAGCTACATTTGTATAGTTGGTGGTTGATATTGTATCCCCTCAGAAAAAAGATAAAGAAAAAAATGATTTTCTTTGTTAAAAATGCATTGTCAGAAGTACATGAAACAGGAAATCTACTGAAATGTTTAGTTTCATGGCTACTGATGTATAACCAAGGAAAGTATTCAATATCTTAATGTCTTCCATCCTTATTGTAAGACTATTCATCATGTGTTTAAATATAAATTATTATTTTTAAAGTTATGTTTTCAAAAATAAAATACTTAAAACTAGTCACTGGTTGAAAAAAGTATAACTTAATTTCTTTTTCTGCAAAAAATGTTTAAATGTCTATTTAGTTTTAATGAAACTTCATAATTATGTAGATTATTTATGTCTGGAAGTCCAGCTTTCATTTGTTTTCCTCTCTGATCTACTGTGGGATTTTCTATCTTTTATTCTGCATGCCATGCTTGGTTTGGATGGAGCACAAACTCTTTATATCTTTCAGTCGACTTGTGTCCTTCAGTTCACTTGTTAATGAGCTTTCCTATGAATTTGGAAATGTTTTATTTAGATACATTTCCAATTGAAAAGTTGATTTTATGAACTTAAAGAAAACTTTAACGGAATTTTTTTTTTTTTGCTGCTTTGTGATCATCAGGTGACGATATCTGTGGATGGGATTCTGACAACCACGGGCTACACCCAGGAAGACTACACCATGCTGGGCTCAGACGACTTCTTCTATGTGGGTGGGAGCCCCAGCACCGCCGACCTGCCGGGATCTCCTGTTAGCAACAACTTCATGGGCTGTCTCAAGGAGGTAATGTAGCATGCTCACTTAGATAAAATGTGATGCTGCTGAATTTCAATCAGGGAAACAAAAAAAAATGTGTAACCTTGTAGACCAAACCTGACTGCACTGCCATTTGTGTGGAAATTCACTTCAGCCTGAAACATTACTTTTTCTGAGTTATTCTTAAAAACTGTGGCATTGGTTACGATGCAGATGAATACAAAGCATCAAATTGATTACTATAGTGCTTTGTTCTCTCTGGATTGGTCAATATGTTAACAACCAGTAAGTCGTTCCTTAGTGAGTTGAGCTTCAACAAGAAGCAATTTGTAAACATCGACACACTTAAAGCATCATTTTGGCAGAATCTGTGTCTACTATTCTTTATGGAATTAGTAGAGTTTAGACAAGCTACTTCTCAACACAAACACAACTTTGAAGCATGTTCCATACGTTTTCCATAGGTTGGTCCATTTCTATTTGAAACCCAGTCTAGATAAGTGGTGGATAATTGTCTTGTAGGAAAATGCCATTATGTTTAAACAGTTTACAATTGCTGTTGATTGGTGGTACAGTCGAAAATTCTGGAGGTAGCTGCCCTCTATCTGCCCTCCATTATTTCATGAACACTATTACACACAGGTTCCCTAATTAAATGCTACTATCATCATAAGTGACAGCTAAGATTGTGGGTGTAAAATCGTAGTTTGACTCCTTTAAATACATTTCTTTTTGATGGAGAAGATTTTGGCACAGCTTGAAGGTGCTATGTTGGAGCAGGTGATTTTATTTTTCCTCGTGGTTTGTCCCTCAATCCATATTGATGCTGAAGCAGACTAAATGTAAACAGCTTGAGAGTTCCTGGGAATTTACTTAAGATCTTGACAGAAATATTTATATCACAGGCAAAGTTGTCACACTTGCAAAGCAAAACACACATATATATGTGTTAATCATTTTGAGCCCATTTGAAGGTAAGTGTTTCTAATTTCACATGGTATGTGTAAGGGCATTCTGAAGTCTTAATCGCACAAAGTGAGTCAGGGGTCACAGCCTTTGTTTTAAACCCATTTTGAATGCATTCAGATGTGCAATTGACATATTCTTGATAATATATTTAGACACATTGCAACAATGGTGTTAAAATTATAGATTTTTCCAGTTATCATTTGTTACATACTATTGAATGCAAGTCTTAGCTCGGCTGAGCTACAGACTTTACAGTAAAAGTTGCTTTTAGGGTTATTGCATCCCGAGACATGAAACTTGGCTTTGAGAGAGATATTCACACCCACATACATACAAATATATTTCTCTCTGAAGCTCATGATGTCATATCTTTGCACTTAAGTAGAGGCAGTGGAGTGCACTGTGACTGCAGGGGCTCGGCTTTCTCCATCTCCCTCTCACCCATACACACACACCAACACACTGATTGTACAGCATCATATGGCTCTAGGGTGATGGAGGAAGTGGCGCAGCAGCCATTTAATCCCCCTCTGGCCTACTTCCTGCTCTGTGGCACGCTGGGCCTGTGTCAGTTCTCTGTTCCGCCCACTTCCATTCCTGTCAAGCTTGTGCATGGACGCACACACAAGATAATTACAGACGTGCACATTCATGTATGCACAAATTCTTGAACCACGGTTCAAATATGAAAGATAGAGTCACACGAAGAACTGGAGACATTTTCCTTGTTTTTCTGTGCACACAAGCAAAAATCATTAACATACAATGAAGCAGAGTAAAAGGATACACAATGCTGCAGAGTAATCTCCCGGAAAATGAGCTGCTATTTTAGGTTCCTTGTTTACATCTTGGTATGTTTTAGATGCACACCGTTTGTCTCAATGCCTTTGGAACAAAACCAGTTCCTCTCCTTGGACTTATTTCTGTCCCACTATCACAGACCTATTGCTTACTTTGGGTCCGGCCACAAACTTTTAAAACCTAGAATTTACTTGTTAGCTTCAGTACAACAAGATTTTATTCAATGCATAGATTATGTTCCGTCATCATCATTATTGGATATTACTTCCTAAAAATATATATTATTTTAAAACCATTCTTGATGAGTTTATATCTATCCAGCCCTAGCATTGGCAATTGGTGCTATGAAGTTTGTATATGCACAGAACAGGGCCTGAAACATGCATACTTCACTTTCCATGATATGGTTGTTATCTTGAGTTTAAAAATTATCTTAAAGATAAATGTTTCCATCCCCTTTGCAAATTATGACCCATGTGTATGCTTATTTTGGAGAGATGGAAAACTGGGGATGCAGATAGTGATGTGGGGAATTGAATCTAGACTACACTGAAATGTTTAATGTCACTCCACCTCAAAATCATAGACATTAAAAACCCCAGTGTGTTAAAAGTACTGGTGCAACATAATTATGCATGAGAACCTGTTACGTATTGGCAAAAGCTCATTTGCCTGAGTTTAAGTGACATCCTTTACCTAATCCACCAGGGTTTAATGTGATATTGGTCCATCCTTTGCAGCTAGAACAGTTTCATCTCTTCTAAGTTGGCTGTCCACAAGTTTTAGGAGTGTGTTTATGGGATTTTTTTTACTTTTCTTCCAGAAGTCCATTTATTTTCCCCTCTAATTTTTCTCTGTGCAGGCCAGTGAAGTTTATCCACACCAGACTACCAACCATATTTTATAGACCATTATTTGTGTACTGATGCACAGTAAAAATGGAAGAGGAAGAGGCCAGCTCCAAACTGTTCCAAGCATAACATTGATCAAAATATCTTAGTTTGCTGAAGTATTCAAAGTTCCTTTCATTTGAACGGGGCCAGGCCCAGCTACTGAAAAACAACCCCAAACCATAACCCCTCCTTCACCAAACTTTACACTTGGCACAATGCATTAAGTACCGTTCTCCTGGCAACAACCAAACCCAGAGTCTTCCATCAGATTTCGAGATGAAGAAGCGCGATTGGTCACTGCAGAAAACATGTCTCCAGTGCTCTGTGGTGGCGTCCTTTTTCACAACAGCATCCAAGGCTATGCATTACACTTGGTGATGTATGAATCGGAGGAACCTGCTCAACCTTTGAAATCATTCCATGAACTCTCTCTGCAGCTCTCTTGAGCTAATGTGAAGACCGCATGAAGTTTGGAGCTGTGTAGTGATTTACTCTGCAGAAAATTGGCAACAGCTTTGCACTTCAGCATCCGCTCACTCTGCTCTGTCAGTTTACATGGCCTACCACTTTGTTGCTGTGTTGATGCTGTTCCAATACCTCAATTTTCTTATGGTACAGCTGAAAGGTTGATTATTGAATATTTTTACAAACAAGGACATTTTACCTCTGGATTTTTTGCACAGATGCTATCCTATCACAGTTCCAAACTGGAATTCATTGAGCTCCTGAGAGCGCCCCATTCTTTCACAAATGTTTGTAAAAAGTCTGCATGCATAGGTCCTCGATTATTCTTACACCTGTGGCCATGGAAGTGAGTATTTTGGATCCCCCTCTAAAACTGCACCTATATATATATATATATATATATATATATATATATATATATATATATATATAAAATATTTTTATCACAAACGTTTTCTGAAAAATTACTTCTGCTTGTATTTTTGATGGTAGGAGTGTCAATTTTGGGCCCCCCTCTGTCCCGGGACATTTGACTCCTTTGTCCCCCCCTTTCGGTGGGCATGATTGGTAGCTCTTCCTATGACTGTACCCATGAAGTAGCTCTCAGCCTTAAAAAAGGCTGGTTAACTTAGCCTTAGAGCGTTGCTCTAGTCCCTGTCTGGTTAACTGGGTCCACTTCTGGAAATCAAAAACTCACCAGACCAACAGCATCCCTAAAAATAGAGGTCAGTGCGTTTCTAAGACATTTGCAAAAAAATATTCTCTGTGTGGTTTCTAAACTGTCAATATGCAAACTTTTTTAATTTTATCTTATTAGGCTGCTAATAATTCATATGTGGATTAGCTTGTCACGGCCTTAGTAAATGAGAGTGGACCCATTGCAATTTTGAATCGAATCACGTTATTCTTTGATTCTTGATATATTAGTTACATATAAGGAGAGTTTTCATAAAAAATACATCTTTGATAGCAAACCAAAAAAAAGCTTTTTTTTTTGGTATATTATTTATAATTGAGAATTGTGTGATTATATTGTGGCTTTAATTTATTTTAGTTTAAATGTATTCATTTCAATATCCTAGTAATGGTCTTTTGCTGTTCTTGGACCGTGTGGTGGAGGCAGGACTTTAAGCAGACACCCAAACTTCCTTTTCTCTAGACAACACCTCCAGTTGTATTGGTGAAAAACTGAGGCATTTAGGTGGGCCTGGAATTCCTCCCAAAGGAGGCATACAGGTGGTTTCTGAAACGGATGTCCGAGTCACCTGAGCTGACTCCTCTACTCCGAGCCTCTCCCGGATGACAGAACTCACCCGTTTTTTTTCAAGGTAGTGCCCTAAAACCGTGAGAAGGACACTAATTTCAAAGGCTTGTATCTGGAATCTTGTTCTTTAAGTCAAAACCCAGATTTCCAAATCCCAATTGGAATGTAGATAAGGTCTAAGCCCTAATGGGGTTCATCATGCACCAATTCAAAGATATTATTGATCTGGTGTTCAGTAACTGTTACTTTAAATATCAAGTTATTCAGTCTGCTTTATGTCGGAGAATGAGACCACAAAGAAAAAACAGTTTTAATCATTTAGAATAAATCAATAAATAAGAATATTTTAAACTCTTTATTTTTTACAAGTTTAGCTCCAGTATTGTAAGAAGAAAGGAGTCTTGGATAAAGATTAAGATCGTGCATTAAAAACTTAACACCGATGACAGAAACATGATTTTTTTCCCCCCTTAAATAAATAGTAAAAAAACACATCTTGACTTTAAAGTTTGATACAGACTCAGCTCACAGATGTTTTTATTTATTATATATCACCCATAATAGTTTCTGTTTGTTTACATTTACTAAAAAAAAAGAGCAATCCAGGTGTATTAAACTATGCCTCGACCGCCCAG